GGCTTCCTCTGCTTCCTGGTAAACTAACAATCAAAGCCTGCAAACCTCTCATAGATAGAGTCATGAGCAGAATTAATAGCTGGAAATCAAAGTCTCTGTCTTATGCTGGTAAAATTCAACTCGTGATCTCTGTTCTGTATAGCCTCTCCCATTTTTGGATGTCGATCTTTATTTTACCTAAGGCTGTCATCAAAGCTATAGAAAAAGTGTGCAGTGATTTCCTGTGGGGGGTTGGAGATGGTGCTAGGAAGAAAGCAGTGGTTGCTTGGGGCCGAATTACTTATCCTAAAAAGGAAGGGGGACTGGGACTAAGGGATATGAGCACTTGGAATCTTGCTTGTGTTGTAAGGCACATATGGGCTGTGTTGCTCAGGCAAGGATCTCTTTGGGTTGCTTGGACCTAGGAATATCGGATAAAAGGGTTAGATTTCTGGACTCTTTCCTCTAAAGCTGGATCCTGGCTTTGGCAGAAAATATTGAAGATCAGGGATAAGGTCAGAGGTTGGTTTTCTGTTGCTTCTGATGGGGTCTATTGGAAGGGTGCACTAATGCCTAAATTCTGCATCAGGAAAGTTTGGGAGGAGTTTCGTCCCAAAAGGACCCCTGTCTCTTGGAACACTCTGATCTGGAAAGGGCCAAATATTCCAAGGAACCAGTTCCTGGTTTGGCTTGTGGTCACTGATTGTATTTCAACTGGTGATAAAGCTCAGGGGTGGGGAGGTCCAGGAGATTATGGATGTGTATTTTGCTCGTGCAGTTTGGAAACGAGATCTCACTTGTTTGCTGAATGTTATTTGTTTAAACAGATGTTTGCAGCTCTGTTTGCCAATTTTGCAGATAGAACCCCTGGAGATCAATGGGATACTGAGCTTCAGTGGGCTATATCTACTTTCAAAGGATCTACAATCTCAGCACAGACTGGAAAGTTAATTTGGCAGTCTTTGATTGCTTCAATCTGGAGAGAACGTTGCTCGGTTAAGTATGCAGGGCGACAAGCTGATTTTCATGGTCTGATTATGAGAATTAAAGGGGATATAAGGGTTATTGCGGATCCAGAAATAGTCTGTTTGTATTTCTGAGTTTTCTGCTTGTAGTTCTGAGTTGCTTTTGGCTTGTTTGCCTCAGCCCCATGGTTCTGCTGTCCTTTGCTCAGATGGCAGAGCTGTTGCCAGCGTTGTAACTGGTTAGTTTTGATGAAATGAAATTCCACCCGCTTCATCAAAAAAAAATATATATATAGCCTAGTGGTGAAACCGTTGGTCTGGTTGGCTCAGGATGTGAGAGGTCCTGAGTTCGATCCCCAGCGGCGCCGTTTGTGTGTTCTCGGAGGCATGCCTGAGTGCCGGGGACGAAGTCTCCCGATGTTGTGTCTTGTACAAGTGCTCCCCAGGTTTAGATCACGCTGTCATAAAGTGGCATGTGGGGTTGAGGTTCCTGGGTTATAAAAAAAAAAATTATTAGGATGCCTCTATTGTATCATTCTTGTCACTGTCTCTATACGGGCCATTAGATGCATAAATCTAAACGATAAAAAAAAATGTTTTATAGGATTTTGTAATTGGTACCATCGTAATATAGCTTTCTACAAAAATGATAAGAGGTTGTGTCCGTCTAAGTGCTATAAAAGGGTATGGTTATTAGGTGGAATGCATGCCTACAAAAAGACATTTTCATAAGCTCTGAAAGTTGAATTGACAATTAAACCAACGAGGAATGATCCAGCTAAAAGAACTACTAGTTAAAACGACAATATTATCTCAGCCTCATAATTAATTAATATTTGAAATTTGGTTTATACAATAAGTTCTAACTTTGGCTTTACAACTGATTTGTTTCTCATATTCTCGTTGCTCTTTACAAAATGGGTTTGATCTCTTTAAGTAAAAGATAATGAATTTCTTAGGTTTATTTCGACCAATAGAAAAAAAGAGGGAAGAGAGATGTCTAATCATAAAAAGAAAAATTAGGTTATTATAATTTATACAAATGGTCGATGCAATTTAAAAAAAATAGAGAAAACTCATCCACTCTTCTTCTCTCTTAAACTAAAAATATCATCGAAATTTGAAACTAATGCAATTAAATTTTATTATTTAATATTTAATGAAATTATAAATGAAAATGCAAAACCAATATTTAATGTTTTAAAAATGGAAATTCGAAAGTGAAAATGCCCACTCACTCTCTCCATGGTGGCTTGCAATTGCAGTATTAACTTTTGTAATGACATTTATCAACGTTTTTAAATGAATGATTAGAGATATTCCAGCAAAAAGAGAGATATACTCCATCGTTATTAAGGACTTCAATATACTTATCAATTTTTTATGATTATATTATTTATAATTTTAGATAAATTATTAATTTGCATTTTCAACACTAATGAAGAAATTATTAAATTTATCTCACGTCATCATTAACGATTGATAACCTGAAAATTATATTGTTTATCACTCCTATATTTGAAACATTTTATCCTTCTTTTAATGCATATTTAGGAATTTTTACTCAAATTTATATGAATATCATTACTATTTAGTCAATAAGCTATTATTAGTCCTAGGTTGTGTTCTTGTATCTTTTTATACCGTTTAGGTATATTTCTGAAGCCCTTGATTCGTCGTCCTCTAGTTATGGAGTCCAAGTTTCACTCGTACAATGATGGTTTTGGCTGACATTTAGGAGTAAAACCCCTACAATGCCCCCTTTATCATGTCTACACAGAGATCATTGTTTGTTTGTTAGATCAACAATGTTATACATCTTATGTTATGGCTCAAGAGGCCCACACTTAACTAAGTATTATCCTTACTTCTCTACTCTTCATTAGTTAGTTGGTGACATGAAGTGAAAACATGCATTAGCTAATTATTATCCCTCTTGCATGCAGCAAAAGCTCGGTTAGGAATGCACTCGTGGAAGGGATAAGGTGTCATAATAGATGATGCATTGAAAACACGCATTGAAGCATCTTGCTAATGGGCACCTCAACCTATTGCTTTTACTTTTAGTCACATAATTATCTCAAGCAGAGGTTGTTAATTTTGAGTAGTTATTATCAAAAGACCTCATGGAATACAACAGTCGGAACTCCTAAATTTATCACTTGCTTCATCTTGATCAACCGTTTGAATAACATTATCATCGATTTACAACATATTTATTAGATAATACTACTAAATTCGACCCCTTGATTTCAAATTAGGTTAAAAATAATACTACTATCCTAATTATCCTTAACCACCTAATAGTTACTAACTTTCTATTATTTACCTAAATTACTCTAAGAAAATACTTAATATACTTTTAATTTTTTCAGCCTTAAGGACCTGAACTTAGCCCTTACAAAAAGAGGGAGGGTACAATATCCTCCCTTTTTGAGACAAAAAGGTTACCGTACACTTGTGAGCCCTAATTCCTAGTTTTGGGTTAGGGTGCTAACAACTAATTTGTTAACATGGTGCTAATACTAACCCAATCAATATAAATAGTTTTGTTTGCCGATTTGCTATGTTTAAGGGATTGAACATAATTTAATGGTGACTTTAGAGGAAGAGGCACGCCTGTCATTTTGAAAAATTAACTAACTGTTACCTAACCCAAGCTCCTCTCTGTTCACGCTAGGACATCCCTAACCAGATCCGGTGTTGGAGATGCTAACCGCGAGAACCGAAGCAGCAACAATGGTTGAGATCGCACCAACAATCAACGAGTAGCGGCTGTGTGCGCCGGTTGTTGAAATTGCACTAGATGTTGTTTTCTTTCCATATTTCAATATGTGGTGAAATTTCAGCAGCACCAACATTGTATATCACATCACAGAGAGGTGGCAACGAGCAACAGTAGTGCCAATCTTGGAATTTTATATGGATGCATAGCAGACCACAAATTTCCTCAAACATAAAAAAGAACTCGTAACACTTGCCATAATTATATTGATCCATCCAAATCACACTTAATTAAAATTATAAAAAAAATTCGTTAACATTTTAGTCTCTCCTCATTAAGCAAAAATACACTGGTAAATGGAAGGGGAAATCAACTAGCAAATCCATGATCCCGTAACATGTGAGGGTGGATAACGGAACCGTCAATAGTAAACAAGTAGCCCTAGAAAAAGTATTCAACTACCAATTACCTTCACGATAAGCATATACCCTAGGAGCACTTCTACTATGCTATATAGTATTGGTGCTTTAATGTACAACTTAAAGTTGTACCATAACATTAAATGTATAAGTTTAGGTTGTACCATAAAACAATTTGCACCATTATGTTATGGTACAACTTTACAACTTGAAGTTGTACCATCACATAAAGGTCAAGTTCAAGTTGTACCATAAAAGAATTTGTACAAAAAGTATAGGTTCAATCTGAAGTTGTACCATAACGTAAATGTACAATTTTAAGTTGTACCATAAAGGCAAAACCCTATAGCACCAATACTATATATCATTGTAAAATGTCTCTATACCCTAGAGGTATAATCCCTGTTAGTGTTAGAGATTAGTTAAGGGTTGGCTATTTGGTCCGGTTTTTTGATTTTATCCGAAATTGAAATGTATAACTCGGACCGAAACTGGACCAGAGAGCAAACAATCCAATCTAATTTTTGGGCCTAGATTTTAGATTAAAAAAAACCGTATGGTACCGGACCAAAACCCGGATAAAGACTGGATAAGAGAGCCCAACACTCAAAATTTAACATCCTCACCCTTTCAGGCCTCATGCCACTCAAATCCCTACAAGCTCAATCTAAAATCAAGACCGAATTGGGACAAGACCGGTTCAAAACCGGACCGGATAATGAGCGGACTGTATCCAATCCGAGCAATGCATGCCAATCTAAAAGACCGGACTGGGACTGGATTAATTCGTGCCAATTTAACCGGCCCGGACCGTGTAGCCACCATTACGAGCAATGTCAGTCTATATTATATAGCTATATAGCCTCTTCAACCGCGGCTATATATATAGTTGTACCTCTATGCATGCCAGGTACTTATCCTCAAGTGTTAGTAACAAGTTAGCCATCACCACTTAGAAGTGCCATATTCTCCCACTTCTCTCACTCTCTCTCTCTCTCTCTCTCCCTCCTTAAGCTTTAACAACAATCACTTGGATTCAGCCATGGCCAACTCACCATCAATGAAATTAACTAGCGTCCAGGAGCTCGTGAAAGCAGCGCCCCCACTCTCATCAATCCCACTCCAATTCCTCCAACAAACACAAACTGCACTTTCTGTTCCCACGCCGTCGGCGGCGGAGATTCCCACCGTTGACTATACGCTGTTGGCTTCACCGGGAAGCGGAGAAACGGAGCTCCAGAAGTTGCACTCCGCCTGCAAGGACTGGGGCATCTTTCAGGTGATAGAAAGATTATTATATCTATAACTCGTTCATCAGTTTGCATGTAATATTACTTTGTCCCCTTTCAATTCGGATAACTAATGAGTCATAAGCATAAGAACTTGTGGCAGGTGGTGAACCATGGGATGAACCCTGAGGTGACGGAGAAGCTACGAGGCGAGATCGAGGAATTCTACGAGCTGCCGTTGGAATGGAAAATGAAGTACGGCGTGAGGGCCGGAGACGGTGAAGGTTACGGCGGAGGCAAGGCGAGAGCCAACGGGATAAGGGATTGGGGAGATCGGCTTTATATGACTACTAACCCTATCCATCTTAGAAGGCCGCATCTCTTACCAGAGCTCCCTCCATCCTTAAGGTCTTGTCATTATTATTTATTGCTCTCCTCTTATCAGTATTCTTTCCCTTTTTGAGTACTATCTTTTCTACATAAGAATTATAATACTCAAGGTTTAAAAAGGCGCTAGGTGTAAGGCGAGCGTTGAGTCTTTGCATAGCGCGCTTAACTCGCTTAGGCGTTGGAAGAAAAATAGCTATTTGCACTACATGATGAATGAAATAATAATCTACAACGCTTTCTCACTTCAGTTAAAATGATTAATAGCTTACTCAACACTGAATGTCAAGAACATAGCTCACGAATTCATAAAATCATAACTCAATAACTCACAAAGTTCTTAACCTATTGAAAGTATTTATATAGAAAATTGATTTCGTAGTTGATGTTAATTTTCTCTTTTGATATTGACTTCCTAGCTCCATCCAGTAATGCTTAGGAGAGACTTTTATGTCGCCTTACTCTATTGACGTGTTCTAGTATCTAATTAGACACAAAATTTTTAGGCAAGGCATTTTGCCATTGTCTTGTGTCTAGGCGTGCCTAAGCGTAAGATGAAGCTTGCGTTTTGAACCATGTTAATAATATAATGAAAATAGAAAGGATGTATCCTAAATAAGATCTGAATCTCATGTCATATTTTAAAATGAATGGTGCTATGAAATTGTGCACATGTTCATAATCGGTCCTCTCGATTTGTTAATTATAACTTGTGACTTTGGGTAGAAGTAATTGACGGGATATTATTTATTGTTAAAATAAAAGATTCATTATTAAGCACAAAAGGCTACATATGAAGAATTTTTTTTTTTTTTTTTGTATGAATAGGACCGTGAGGATTACAGATCGTGAATATATATTATACCTAAAAACTAAAACCTAAGCAGCATAAACATAAATGGTTTGGTCTTGTGAATTTTAATAAACCAATTATATTTGAATGTTCCTTCTAAAAAAAGCATATGTATTGATCCTGTGTTTTAAAAGACGTGACCTAGAACATATAGTTTACCAACAATTTAGATGTAAACTAACGTGTTTATAACTTATAAGTAATATTTTACAGTTGTAGGCATAAAGAATTTTGCGGTGGTGATAGAAGAGTCTTATTTTCAAATGGTTGAAATAAGATAGTGTAGGGAAATTGTAATAGATTTATTTTTAAATATCGTTCATCAACTCAACTTATTTATATGAATTGGTTATTAATGGAGTGTTTGGTCGACAAACTTTGTGTACAAATCTAGAAAATCTAAACATTAACTAGTTCAAAAAGCTCCTGTAAATTTTAAACTCGTGCATGGGTTGAGTAGTTTTTTTTTTAATTATAAATGCCTGAATGCTTTATTAATGAATATGGGTTGACTAGCTTTAACCTTGAGTTATAGGGAAGAATTGTATGTTTGAACATTATGATTAAAATTATTTACAATTTACGGGTAGAAATTAAAAGTTAGAGAAATGTTATGTGATTGTGATGTCATGGTGCCTAAATTCAGTACTAACAAAGAAAAAACCATTGCCATTGTCAACTCGATCTCTCTCTCTCTCTCTCTCTCTCTCTCTCTCCTGCAGAGATAACCTGGAAACATACATCCAAACCCTAAAAACCCTAGCGAGTGGGCTCCTCGGGTCGATGGAAGAGGCACTGGAGATGGAAGCAAACGAGATGGCGGCGAAGATGGACGACGGCCTGCAGTCGGTGGCGATCATATACTACCCTCCTTGCCCGCAGCCGGAGCTGGTGCTGGGATTCACCCCACACTCCGACGCCACCTGCATCACCATCCTCAGTCAAGTCAACGGCGTCGGAGGTTTGCAGGTCAAGACAAGAGCCGGCAGCTGGGTTCCGGTCAACATCCTGCCCAACGCTCTTGTGGTCCTCGTTGGAGACATCCTCGAGGTTTGTCGGCTTAATTTCCTCCCTCTCCCTTAGACAGTTAGTTTATTCTTATCCAATTATTTTTATGCTATTTCATCACGTGTGCTTTTAGGTTGAGTCTTCCTGCTTTAGTACACATCTCCACATTATTATTCAACTAAAAAGAGGACTATTTCCACAATTTCTTTAGAGATTCGTTGATCGAGGATACGATTATCCGAATCATGGTTTGGTTAGCATAAGACTTTAGCGTGATTGGGAACCGTCTGGTAATTAAGGATGGCGAAATGATCCATCATCATCCATTGTAGATATTTCATGGAATTTCAACTTGTTTTTATTGAGTTGCTCTTTTTTTCCGAATTCGATAAACTAAATAAAGATTTTGATGTGAATTTAGCACTTCAAATATTGTAAGGAAGTGGTTAAGTACTATACACGGGCATGTATAAGATCCAGCATAACTTTCTCCCAACAACTCGAATTATTGGAACCAACTGGTTTATGACATGGTATCAGAGCTGGTTTGTCCTTGAGGTCACGTGTTCAAGTCCTCACGACCCCCAATATTAATCGTTGTCTTCAAGCACATGGTATGGCGGGCCTGTGCAAACTTCAAGCCCATTGGTTGGCTTTCGTTTGAGGGGGCGTGTAAAGAAGTGGTTAAGTACCATACACGGGCCTGTATAAGATCCAGCATAACCTTCTCTCAACAACTCGAGTTATTGAGACCAACTGGTTTATGACAAATATTTGCACTGAAAGTCTTGAAACTATCCAATTATGTACTGAAAAATATTCAAAGATGGGCTCTCTAACTTCATCACTTCGATGGCTCAAATTCTATAGTTGTAGTTCAGTTTTCCTTACAGGTCCACATCATGCCTTACAAATACAATTAATCTGCATCAGTGCCGTAATCATGATTTCAATTAAAGTGGGTCCGACGTAAAAATAAAATATATAAATATTTAACTAATATTTTAGAAATATTGACATGTTTTCATAATTTGCCAATTGATTTTTGCTGGAGAATTCAACATCAAATTAGGAATTAGTAAACCGAATATAAACAATTAGGGACACATTTTTACATAAAACCTAGATTTATTTACATAATATGCCAGGTTAACATGTGTCACAAAGTTTTCTACAATCTGTTGATAAACTTGTAAAAATGCGGTGTTGGATTTGTGTATTATGTACAAATATTGTTATTTTCGATGCTGCAATCACAAGCCAAGATGAATCATGGGATCTACCCTGTTATGTGCTAGCTCTGCCACTAATCTTTTAACTCTTATTAATTAAGATACGAAATGTGTAGCAATCATTACAAAAAGGATATATTTATAATTATGACCCTTTTTTATGTGAATTTTGTTTCGAAACTTTTCTTTTTTTATGAATTTTGTTTGGAATAATATGTAATCGACTACGGACTAATAGCTGTAGAACGAAAAGAAAAATATTCATCCAAATTTTAAACCCATGCAAAAATCCACGTAATTTATTCTCTCGCAGAACCCAGATCTTGCCAACTTTTGGTGCAAAATATTTGTGGTGTAGGTCTTTAGCAACGGAGTGTACGAGAGCGCGGAGCACAGGGTGAGCGTGAATCCAGACAAGGAGCGGATTTCAATGGCTTTCTTCGTCAACCCGAAGCTGGAGGCCGACATCGGACCCGCTGCTAGCCTCGTGACGAAGAACCCGCCCTGCAGATTCAAAACCATCTCCACGGAGCAATATTTCAACAACTTCTTCGGCCGTGTCCTGGACAGGAAGACCAATTTGGAGGCTCTCAAGATTGATAATTGACGCCGATCGATTGATGATCTCCGTCACGCATATATAATATTGCTGGTTTTGTTTTGTGTGTATTATATGATAAGAGTGTGGGAATAACCGATCAAGTAAGCATATACGTATACTTATAAGTGAAGTGTGTACGAAGTATGTATGGTATTAATATTATACATTACCATCCCCAGCTGCCGTATACTTATATGCTGCGGTGCTGGCCAGGCTTGAGCTAGCAGCTGGTAGGTGTATTAATTAATTATTAATATATAAAAACTTAGGTTTGAGTTACTATTCATTAGTGATTCTCACACTCCATTAAGTGCAAGTGGGGAAGTACCAATTCCTTCTTTTACCCCTCTCCATTCTATAACATTTGTGTTTAGTTATGTTCGCTAGGTTTTCGTCTATGGTTTTTTGCACAAATCATCACCTTTGTGTTTTGTTATTGTTCGCTAGGTTTTCGTCTGTGAATTTTTGCACAAATCATCGTCTTTGTGTTTAGTTATTGTTAGCTAGGTTTTCGTCTATGGTTTTTTGCACAAATCATCGCCTTTGTGTTTTGTTATTGTTCGCTAGGTTTTCGTCTGTGAATTTTTGCACAAATCATCGCCTTTGTGTTTAGTTATTGTTCGCTAGGTTTTCGTCTATGGTTTTTTGCACAAATCATCGCCTTTGTGTTTTGTTATTGTTCATTAGGTTTTTGTCTGTGAATTTTTGCGCAAATCATCGCCTTTGTGTTTAGTTATTGTTCGCTAGGTTTTCGTCTATAGCTTTTTGCAAAAATCATCGCATTTGTTGTTCCCCACTACCGTTTTCCAAGGCGCTACCACCAGTTTTGTATTGGTACCGAGTTTCATCCTCTTTAGTATTTTTTTTTTCTTTTTTTTTTCTTTTTGTTTAGTAACCCAAACACATGGGTATCCTACCTTGAACACAAATCCCAAGGTTCTTTTTTTGTAGTCCATCTCAAAATACTGTTGGCGGAATCCTAAGTTGTTCCCCACCGCCATTTCCCAATGCCGCTACCACGAGTTTTGTATCTGGACCGAGTTTCATCATCTTTAGTGTTTTTTTCTTTCTTTTTCCCCTTTTTGTTGAGCATGATCACAATTGAACCCAAACACATGGGTATCCTAACTTGAAGACAAATGATCGCATTTGCACACCATTTTGCAGCTTATCTCGAAATACTGTCGGCGGAATACTAACCTGTTCCCCACCATCTTTTCCCAAGGTGGCTACCACGAGTTTTAAACAGTATCGAGTTTCATCCTCTTTAGTATTTTTTTTCTTTTTCTTTTTCATTTTTATTGAGCATGATCACAATTGAACCCAATGTCGCTACCAAAAAAATCCATAATATATCTACTCAATGTTGGCAAGTTTTGTATCGGGACCAAGTTTCGTTCGCTTTAGTGTTTTTTCTTTCACTTTTTTCCTTTATGTTGAGCATGATCACAATTGAACCCAAATTCATGGGTATCTAACCTAATTCGATACGGTCAAAGCGACTTGAAACAGACTATAGCATTTATAAATTTATCTTTTTTTCTTCTTTTGGTTGGGAAGAGAATTGAACCCGAATCGAAGGTTTTGACGAGTGTTGTATTGTGAGCAGGCTTTATCCGCTTTTGTAGTTGGCAGGTTGGACCAAGTGTTAATTTGTTAAAAAATTGTTCAAAGCAAGTTAAACACATTGTTGACTAGTTTAGATTGAAAGCGAGTTTTGTACGCTTTAATGTTTTTTATTTCTCATTTTCCTTTTCATTGAGAATGGAAATTGAACTCTGACCCATTGTTGACGCGTTTCGTATCGAGAGCGAGTTTTATCCGCTTTTGTAATTAACATGTTGGATAAATTGTGAATTTGTTAAAATTGGGTCGACCCGGCCAAAGCGAGTTGAACGCAATGTGAGCGTTTGGGGTCATGAGCGAGTTTTATCCGCTTTACTATTTTTTTATCTTTTTCTTTTGGTTGAGAATGACAATTGAGTCCAAACGCATGGGTATACAACCTATTCGACCCAACCAAAGCGACTTGAACCTGATTTTACAGGTTTTCGGTGGGAGCAAGTTTTAAATGATTTTGTAATTTGCGTGTTGTATCGGGTGTGAATTTGTCCAAAACTCATTCCAACCATGTCAAAGTGAGTTGAACTTGGTGTTGACGAGTTTTGTGTCGGTAGCGAGTTTTAGCGTTAGTGTTTTTCATTTTTCATTTTCCTTTTGTTTGAAAAAGACAATTGAACCCAAATCCAGGGGTATTCAACCAAATTTGACCCGATCAATGCGAGTTGAGCCTCTTCGAACCTGCAATCAATCCAAAAATTTCATAAAACAGAACCACGAGTATCTCAAATACAAAAAAAAAACCCCAAAAGAGTATGACTATGTTTGGCCCGAATTTTAGAAGTTTGTATTCAAATTTAATATAAAATAAATCTAACGTGATCCATTTTAAATACTTTTTATTTTTTAGAATTTGTATTCATATTTATGTTAGAAATCTTTTTTAGTAATTTTTCGTTACCTCTTATATTAGAAAGCAATTCTTATAGTTTTTCAGCTAAACACTCAACAACTTTTTTTAAATACTTCTTGAAAAGATCCAGAGAAGCTACTTCATTCTGCAAAAGTTACAACATGATCAATTACAGTCATACAAATTAAAACATTAGCGTCATGAAAGAATTTTAAACATAAATAATCTATTCGACGACCCTTCTACCTTATGCAAGTTCATTGACCATACGTTATAAACCTATGAAAAGAATGATTAATAATGAAATAAGATTATTTCTATCTCATCATATCACATTTTGTTCTGCGATATTTGAGAATCACCGTCAATACCTCGGTGTAGGTAAGTCCGGTATAATCCTTTGTTTCATAGTCTGGGGCTGGACTTTTGCTAGTTAATATATATCTAATAATAACTGCTCTAGTACATACATCGTGTGGTCTCAAGTTTCTGTAATGTAAAGACGATTGATAAGTTTTACCCACATGCTCCCTTCTAGGTGTGGCAGTTTGGTTATTTCGGTTATAACCGATAATCGATTGGTCGGTTATCGGTTAACCGAAATAAACATCCCTCTTCTCGAAAACCGACCGAAATATGCTTCGATTTCTCGGTTACCTCGATTATCGGTTAACCGAACCACTTTTAAAACCAAAAATCATTTTGGTCAGCTTCCGATAACCGACCGAAGTTTGGTTACTTCGGTTACCGGTTAGTGGATAACCGGCCGGTTATCAGTTTAACTGGTCGGTTAACCGATAACCGGTAACCGAACTGCCACCCCTACTCCCTTCCCTTCCTCATTAAGGATTCTACAACATTGTTTAGCAAGAATTTCTATGTTAAATGTATGAAAGTATTTGAAACCTAGTAAGGATGTTTAAAAATAGAAAGAGCGGATGCTTTGTCAAAGATAAATGGTGTTGTCAGCAAAGAGAACATGAGTAATATTAGGACAATGAGAATTGAGCTTAGTTTCAGTAAGTGAGCCTTGTTCAACCCCTTGTTGAATAAGGTGAGAGAGTTTGTAAGGAGGACAAAGAGGGTTGGGGTCAGTTGATCCCCTTGGCGAATCTCCCTTGATGGTTTGAATGGTTTGGTTTGTTGTCTATTGAATATATTTGAGAACTTTACTGAGTGAATACATTCTTGAATCGAGGCCCTCCATCTATTATTGAAACCCATAACCTCGAAGATGTCATCTAAACAACTTCACTCAATCCGGTCATAGACTTTCTTCATATCTGGTTTTAACATCATATCTCATGCTTCTCCTCTCGCTCGATTCCTGAAATGATGGATGAGTTGATCATGCACAATGATGATATTATAATTGTGCAATTTTTGTCGTGCATCGGTCGAATAAATCATTTTAGCTTTGGCTTATTTTTTGATAATGGTGAAAATTTTATTAAAAGAAAACGAAGCAAAAAAGAGTCAGAGAGTAGCAGGGAAGGTGGTTCAAAAGAGCTGAACCAGACCCGCCCCCAACTAACAAACAAACAAGACAATCAAAGCAGAAAACGCAGCGATTCACTCAGCACAAAAAGCCCACATCTCTGAACCACACCTCAGTGGACCAGGCCACTGCTGATGTGCGTAAGGGAGGAAGAAAGCCAAGACAAACAACCACTCTCAACCAAGGGAGAGAGCACATGCAAAAGGAACCGCCATCCCTCAACCAGCCATCCACAGAAACGAAATCCCTGACACTCCAAAACAGAGACAGCAGCCCAGCAGCCAGCACTAGCTCCTTCAATGCAAAATCCAGGCCCCACCCCACTCAAGTCGTCCTCACCGCCATCAACCTATATGCCCTCTGCAACATGTCCATCTTCTCTCCCAGCCACTGCAATCCCTGCTCCTTAGAAACTTTGTTATGAGCAGTAGCCCAATCGATAGTAGCTCTAAGCGCATTCCGGGCTACGACCACAGGCACGCTCTTGGAATCCCTGAAGATTCTTCTATTTCTTTCCAGCCAAATCTGCCACCAAATAGAATGTAAACCACAATACACGAACCAATCCATGACATCATCTGGCTCATCACTCTTCCACCTATCAATGGATGACAAAACATCCATGCTGGGGGGGACAAAGCTTCCACACACTCGCTGCAACAAACTCCACACTTCCTTGCTATAGGCGCAACTAACAAGAAGATGATCAACTGTCTCCTCCTCTTTGCAGCAAAGCTCGCACCGGTTTGCCAACGCCCATCCTCTCCTCTTGAGATTATCAGCCGTCAGGATCCTCTTATGGGCAGCAAGCCACACAAATGCACAAACTTTTGAAGGGACGACACGCCTCCAAACCGACATGGCAGGGAAGTTCTGAACCCCTTGAAAGCGGCTGTCCGAAAGAGTCCTGTACATGGAGTGCACTGAAAAAGAACAATCTGAATGGGGAGCCCAGACCAATCTACAAGGTCCATTGCTCACCCTGTTAGTACCATGAGCATTCAAAAAATTAAAAAGACTTTCCCTTTCCCTCTCAGCCCCCCTCTCAAATTAACAGATAAAGGAATTTCCCACCTAGGGGCCTCACCATTGCAGGTTCTAGAGTCTGAAACCCAGGCATCAGGGAAAGCAGCAGCAGCAGCGACACGAGGAAAGGAATCCGCCAGAGTTGCTTCAGGAATCCACCGATCATGCCAAAAAGAAACCCAAGCCCCCCCCCCCCCCTCCTGGATCAATGTCCGCCATTTTCCAAAATTCAGCATAGCCCTTCATGATATTTGCCCAAAATTTAGCTTTGGCTTATTAGTTTATATAATTTGTCATCAGTTATTGCACATGCCGGGAACAACCTGATTTGCACAAAAATCTATTTTACTCCCCCTACAAATTACAATCACTCTCGTTCTAGTATTTTTTTTAAATGTAGTAAATTATTACAGCTCCATTATCTATTGTGTTGATTGACGGGTGAATGTAGATAGATAGATATCAACGGGTGAATGTAGATAGATAGATAGAGGACAAACACGAGAGAGAAACTAATAGACAAGAAACTGAAGCCGCACCGAACAAAGGAATAACTGGTTTGAAAACCGGCTTTCCTGGCCCAGCTTGGTGGCCTCTTCGTATCTGACAATTGTTAGTTGTAGATGTTTGTATAACTATTAGCAATGATATGCAAACTTAAGAAGAAGAGAAAGGGAATGCTAAATCAATTAGTGCCTTTTTTTAAAAATAGTGCAAATTGACAAGCAATTAATTAGTACCTTTTTTTCAATATAATCACAGTGAAATTTCGTTACCTACAACATTATAACATACTAACACTTATTCCTTACATCTTCCTGCACTTAATCCCTTATATTTCAATTTCGAATAATATCTACTTATATGTATGCTATTTTGATTTCTTCACGAACTAATAATTTGGATCTACTAGTCCTATTTTTTATTTTTTGTATGAAAACTAGTGCATTTATTTATTTATTTATTTTTAAAAGCTCCATACAATTAACTGGTCAAACAATATGGTGAAGACCCTCTTTTTTATTTTGATGGAAGAGAAGACCAATACTCGATCAACACGAAATGTTATATTTTTAGGATCCATGCCAGGCCGGCTGCTGCATGCATCATCAACATCCTCATCATCATGTATAAATATAGGGATAAATGTGTACCTTCTTTTTAGTTTACTAATGGCGTCAATTAATACCTTTATAATCTTTGTCAATTCAGGCAGTTTGAGATTTTTTTTTTTTTTTTAATAAAACGCCACAACTAACGTGAATAGTTGTCCATGAACTATGAGCTAGTTTGACCTGATCAGCATGATTTGATTTGCTCCAACGCGTGTTTCATGGCCATTAATTACATGGTGTAGGGTGTGAGTTTCAGTTTTGCTTTGTTCTAGTCCCTATTGAATTTCGTTTTTGACTCGTCTATCTGAATTTTTGCTAATACGTGCTCACATGGCTAAATTATGAATCTATATAGCTATAATTTAGTGTGTGAACTTTCATCTCTCAAATAATTGTATAAGGTTCATATTTGATGTTTCCCAAACAACTCGAGCAATCATAAACAACATGATTTGATATAATGTGACGAATCAATAATTAGTTAATAACTCGATTTGTTGAGAGATTTCTAAATATATGTATCTTATACCATTCTTTTGCAATAATTCTGAGTTTATTGATAATGTATATTTTCTTCCATTTTACTTCGAATTTTTTCAGTTGTATTTTCATATGTATTGCAAATATTTTAATCTGAAAATGTGAATGTAAGCCTACTCTAACTCATACCCCCTATGGGTACTATCAGAATTAATTACCCAAAACTAGCATGGGTAACGAAACTACACCTGCCCATAACATTGTCATTCTAACAGAGAAATTTTACAATGCTATATAGTATTGGTGCTATAGGGTTATGCCTTTATGGTACAACTTAAAATTGTACATTTACGTTATGGTACAACTTCATATTGTACCTATACTTTTTGTACAAATTCTTTTATGGTACAACTTGAACTTGTACCTTTATGTGATGGTAAAACTTCAAGTTGTAAAGTTGTACCATAACATAATGGTACAAATTGTTTTATGGTACAACCTAAACTTATACATTTAATGTTATGGTACAACTTTAAGTTTTACATTAAAGCACCAATACTATATAGCATGGTAGAAGTGCTCCATTCTAACCTAGTTATAATCAAAATACGAGAAATTTTACAATACTATATAGTATTGGTGCTATAAGTTTTTGCTTTTATGGTATAACTTAAAATTGTACATTTACGTTATGGTACAACTTCATATTGTACCTATACTTTTTGTACAAATTCTTTTATGTTACAACTTGAACGTGTACCTTTATGTGATGGTACAACTTCAACTTGTAAAGTTGTACCATAACATAATGATACAAATTGCTTTATGGTACAACCTAAACTTATACATTTAATGTTATGGTACAACTTTAAGTTGTACATTAAAGCACCAATACTATATAGCATAGTAGAAGTGCTCTCAAAATACATGTTACTGTCCTTAGTCATTCTCATTCACCTATACCATAATTTTTAACAAATAAAGAAAAGGTTGGGAGTGATCAATCAGCTTACATAAAACTTGCCCGACGGCCCAACCAACCCGATTGATAGATGTCGTCTCTACTCCCTCATGAAGACGCATTATATTAACCCCCCAATTGATTTCCAATTATAAAAACTGTCCCATCCCCTCTCCATTATTGGCAAAGCTTGCAGGCTATATAACCAATATCATATTTCCCACTTGGTAACGGGCAATAAACAAAAGAAAGGGTTCCGCTCTCTCACCGCTGATAGCTGTTGAACAACAATGGCTTCCTCGTCGTCACTTCTAGAGCTGCCAACAGATTTTCGTGGTGATCATCACCATCATCAGCTGCCTTCCGTGGTAAGCGTCCAGGAGCTAGCAAAACGGCCGCTCACCACAATCCCAACGCCTTTTGTGAGCTTCGACCAAGAGATTTCAGAAGAAACCCTCCACCAGCCGTACGTCGAGGCTCCCATTCTTGACCTCCAACTGTTGACTGCCGATCATGAGACATCAAGTTTGGAGCTTGGCAAGCTTCACTCTTATTGCCAGGAATGGGGCATCTTTCAGGTAGCTATGCTCCTTGGCCCAATTAACCTCTCTCTGATCGTTGTTGAAGGCTCTGATATCATGTCAATAATCAGTTGACCTCGTATTTTATACCACATACTAATACGTCACATATGTACATACAGCTGGTGAATCATGGAGTGGACAAATCTGTGATGGAGAAGCTGAGACATGAGGTTGAAGCGTTCTACAAGCTCCCCGTGGAGGAGAAGTTGAGGTACAAAGAACAGCCGGGGGACTACGAAGGGTACGGTGGAACCGGGAGGTTGAAAGGAAGGCTGGAATGGGGGGACAGGTTCTACATGAACACCAACCCTATCCACAGAAGAAAGCCTCACCTCTTCCCACAGCTCCCTTCATCCTTCAGGTCAGTCAACTCGATCCATCTCCGTAAACGATTTAATTTGTTTTATAAACAAGTGGTTAAGTAACATATATGGACATCTCCCAACGACGTGAGTTATTGGGAACGGTTGATTTATGACATGGTATCAGAGCTGATTTGCCTTTGAGGTCACATGTTTAAATATGCACGAACCCGGAACCTCAATATTAAGCGTTGTCTTAAAGCACATGGTATGGGAAAAGTTGTGCATATTTCAAGTCTATGAGTCGGCTTTTTATTTAAACGAGCAACAAGTGTTTAAGTATTATATATAGAGCTTCCAAACAACTCGAGTTATTGAGTGAAGTTGATTTATGACTTCTTCTTCATGTAACCCACCAACATGTAACAACTCTTCTAAGTTGATCGACTTAGAATCAGAATTGGGTGTTGACTCGTAAATTATATGATCACGCAGAGAAAGTTTGGAGGTGTATCTAGAAGAAGTGCAAAAACTGGCGATGAAGCTGATGGTGTTGATGGCGAAAGCGCTTAAGACGGAGGCAAAGAAGGTTGAGGAGATGATGGACGACGGGATGCAGTCGGTGAGAATAACCTACTATCCGCCGTGCCCGCGGCCGGAGCTAGTCGTCGGAATCACGCCTCACTCCGACGCCTCCGGCATCACCATCCTCAACCAAGTCAACGGGGTTGACGGCCTCAAGATTGTCAAGGACGGGGCTTGGCTTCCATTGACTTTCCTCCCACATGCGCTTGTTGTCAATGTTGGAGACATTCTCGAGGTATTTCATCACTCTCTCTCTCTCGCCGCCGCCCTCACCGTCGTGAATTCATAGATTCCAATGAATTAATTATGGCTTCGCGTACATAATATTGTTTAGATAAATGGTCAAATGATAACGAATCTATTAATAGCGAAATCTGTGTTATTAGATTGGTACATAACTTTTACTAAATGTGGTGATGGGTTTTTGTGTGTAGGTTCTTAGTAACGGATTGTACAAGAGCGTGGAGCATAGCGTGGCGGTGAACTCGGAGAAAGAAAGGATAGCGGTGGGATTCTTCTTCAACCCTAGGTTTGATGCAGAGGTTGGGCCGGCGACGGATATTGTTGGCCCGGAGAACCCAGCAAAGTTCAAGAGGAAGGGAATGGAACAGTATGTGAAGGATTATTTCGCCATGAAGATGGAGGGGAGGTCAAACTTGGAACATATGAAGATCGACAACGATGGATGCCGCCAATAATCATTTATATACAAACACTATTTGCATGTCTTCTAGCAGATAGTAATGATCGTATGACGCGTGTTGGATTATTTAACTGTTTATTGTTAATATAATAACGAATTAAAAGTGCAATAATTAAAAGTCCTCTTTCCTTTTACCTATGATAAAAAAAATAACATAATTAAAAGTCGTTGACTCGTTGTAAGTATTCAAGAATTGCAAGTGAAAATTTTGTTTCTTGTATTATTTAATCGAATTATTATTTGTAGCCTTAATAATACTTATTTGTAGCTCTAAATTGATAAAATTACAATTTTGCTCTGTCTTTTTCTTTTAAATTCAAAAGCTCAAACCCTTCTAACCAAACACACCTTCACTCGCAACCTTCCTACTCCATATTCTCTCCAAATTGTCATCCGAGGCTTGCGGAGCTTCGCCGAGACAAAGAAACTCGTCGGAGAAGGAGGAGAAAGGAAGAAGATCGCTAGAGAGGACCTTCAAAGCACCATTGGAGGTAGGGTGAAGATTGTCGACAATGTGCCAAATACGCATCACCGCCGAAGGCCAAACGCATATTTGCATGTCGGTTGCATGGAGGAGACGTGTTGGTGGCACGTCACCGTTGACAGGTCGTCAAACGAATGTTATAACAATGTTATAGAGTAATTATAAAATTTATAAACAGAGAAAAAAATCATTGTTAAACTGTAATTAAATTGAAATCGTCAATGTCACTCTTGAGGTATAGGAGAATGTGGTGAATGGTGACCATGGACTCAAAGAGCTCGTTCATCAAGTAAGTAACCTCAATCTTCTCAAAGGGAGAGTAGGAGTACTTGAGGTGTATGGCTAGGGAAATGTAAGTATGTCTTGGTCATTCGAGAATAGCTTAAGTATTCCATGACCAATCATAGATTGTTGTTTTCTTTTTTTGTTGCACTTTCGCGGAGTAGCTTGGACTAGGCAAGGTGAAGATCTTTACTAATGTTATGTTCTGCGAGGTCGTTTGGATCAGTGATTGTATAATGAGGGATTTGAGACCCGATTCTCTCAACTAAAAACCTAGGAATTTAAAACGTGATATTTTAGCCCAATTATGTGTTTGAAAATGGACCAGGGGTTTAGCCCAGTTATAGCTTTACCCCTTTCTACTTCTTCTCTGTTCCTTTATCTCATTTTCTGCCGCTTCATCTCTTTCGCCGGTGTGGAAGTTTCTACAACAAACAACGATCAATGGCAACCTTCGTCGACCAAGTGCAAAGGGAAAACCCCAAAGTGGCGGAGAGCTGCTTGTTGTTGTCGTTTCTTTATCGACCAGTTGTAAAACTGAAACCCCAAAATCGACCCTTAGAACCTGCAATCTAAGAATGGACGGGCTTCAAATGCAAAACCTAGAACATTGTAGAGCCGATACCACGGTTACGGATATCTACGGTTACAGATATTTTTGCCATCTCTATTAAGAGACAACATATTTTTCCTTTGGAGCTTGCACCTCTCCATTCACTATCTTATTAGGCTCATTGCCTCTTCAAGCACCAATTGTTCTTTTGACGTGACTTTCTTGGTCTATGGTTGCTTGGGTGGTGAAAGCCTCCTTGCCACTTTGAAGGAAGATGTTATTGTAATGGCTCTTAGTGTTAGCCTTAGCATTGTCTAGCAAAGTTCCTTGAGGTCTCACTGAAATGTCTTATGAATTGGTTCTCATTTGAACTCTGATTCATCATAGGATAGGGTCAAATTTGGGAGCGGATACTATAACAATACCTCCTTTGTTATATAGTAACAACAAGAGTAAAAGGGTCCATTAACACAATATCTAACAAATAAAAAAATCAATATTCAGCCGATCTCCTTCCTTGCATATATCGTTCCTTCTCCTCCAATACTCCCCCCAGCGCCGCGCCGCCCAATCTGAACCTTCTGGCCACTCCACGTCGCTCGTAGGAACAGCAAATGCTTCGCTTGTGGATCGCGACGGCGGCGTTGCTGAACGTGGAAGGCCTGGCGCTACACGAACCTCACGACCGGCAGGGGCGTTATTTCCTCACCGGCGTCGCCAGTCTCTCCTTCCTCTGCAAGTCAGAGGTTCGGCCGGAAGGACGGCCTCCGGCGGTTCCTCTTCTTTAACCCCCTCTGCCACGACAGCGACACCGTCAGGCAAGGATACACCAAGAAGCTCGATGTAAGGTTTTCCAAATCTCCAATCTACTTCCTAATTATAATATCATTGATCCGGTACAAATGTTAAGTCGACAGCAGCAGCAACCCAATTCCGGGAATCCCACAAGCAAAGGGGTAAGAAGATATGAATTGACCGGGGGAAATCGGGTAAACGAAGAATTGAAAGCGGGGAGAAAGAGCCCAGAATTGGGCGGGATGGGAGTAAGAAAGAGGTGGAATTGAAGGGATTTCTTTTTTCAGTTCGTGAGATCAAATTGAAGGGAAGTAATTCAAGATTACGAGGAAGGAGAGCTGTGTGAAGAGGAGATAGTAGAGTGGGAAGGAATTCGGGAATGGTGTGTAAGAGTTCGACTTCGCTCGCAGCAATTAGGGTTTGGACAAAAAGGGGAAAATAGAAAATGAATACTATAAACTTCTAATGCAGACCACAAATCACCTAAAACAAATCAGAAAAGTTAGAAAGCAAATCATAAATATTTTATAAGCACACTAGAAACCTCCTAATACAAACCACAAATGTGATAAAACAAACCACAAAAAGCATACCAGAAACCTCATAAACCAAACCGCAGATGCTCTAAAACATACCAGAAATCTCACAAAGCAAACCACAAAATATTAAAAAACAACCAGAAACGTCATAATGCAAACCACTAACACGTTAAAGCAAACCACAAAACAAACCAGAAACGTCCTAATGCAGACCAAAAATCTATTAAAAAAAACCAGAAACCTCACAAAACAAACCACAGAATTTTCGAAAGCACACCAGAAACCTCATAATGCAAACCAGAAACACGATAAAGCAAACCACAAAAACTTCCTAATGTAGACCAAAATCTATTAAAACAAACCAAAAACCCCGCAAAGCAAACCAAATTTTTTTCGAAAGCACGCCAGAAACTTAACGCAAACCAGAAACACGATAAAGCAAACCACAAAATGCATAAAAAAATATGAGAAACCAAACCATAAATGTCACAATGCACACCACAATATCCGGTGATCGTTGACCAAACTCCAACGACCGTCAGTGAGTAGATTCCGGCGCCGATAGGCATATTCCGGCCCCGATGACTAGATTCCGACGCTGGTAAGCATATTCCGACGCCGGCAAGCATATTCTGGCGACAAAAAAGCATATTCTGGTGACGAAAATTTTGGGCAGGAAATAAAAAAATTATTTTTAAAATTTTTTATTTTTTATTCTTATTTATATATATTTTCATAATGACAATTATACCCCTGCTTTGATTTACACTAGGTCAACTCAGATAGTAAAAAGTCATCATAATCCTAGCTTCCTATTGGTTGGAGACTAGTGTTGTTACAATAACAACACAAGGGGTGTTGTCAGACTATCTAACCTGTCAAATTTAACTCGATAGGTATGAATATGTTAGAAACCGATTTATATCGGGTTTCTATATTTATGGTTATAATTATTATTAGGATATTTCTTATTATGGTTAGTAGTCTTCTAGTAGAGTTAGGTTTATTCTTAGGGTTTTCTAGTATTTTCCTATATATATATGTACTTTGGGTCATTCGTCAGATTAAGCAGAAGTTAATAAAGAATTATCTCCCTAAATTCCTATCCCAATCCTCTCAATTCTTGACCTCAATCCCTCTAAAGGCTTAGGCCGATTCTCTTCTCAAATCCCTAAACCCCAAATTCTGTTCTATAAACCCTAAATTCTCAATCTCTAGGTCTGATCTAGAGACTCGTTAGAAACTTATTTCTAACAGAATACTATCGAGATCGTATTCCCGTAGGGCCTTCTTCTCCCACTACTTCGAACTAGCCGTTGTATTTTAGAAAACATTTTGCAATTGCGAGGTACCTCGAATTCAAGACAAACCAGCTATTGAGCATGAACTTAAGTAACCAACAAAGTATGAAATTATTAGATCTAGACTAGCAACAAACACGAGTAAAGCATAAAGTAAAAGGCATTTTTAGGTATTATTTCCCCTAGTTTTTCCATATTGGTATAGCAACTTAAATAAAAACATATGCAATTGAGTGTGTCACGAAGGTTTCTACCACCTATTCCGATCCAAGATCATATCCTACACTTTGGTAGTTTCAACTTTTATGGTGGACTAGGTGCCCATACGAATGATTACCCTTTATACTACCGACTTTCGAAAAACTAATTGTTTTATCTCATTTTTCATTTCAACCATAAACAACTAAGGGGTCGTTTGGAAGTTGCGATTGTGTTTCCTCGGGAAAACCAAATACCACTGCCGGTACGAATTTGTTTCCGGCGATGTTGATTTGATGTTTCGTAATGGAAACTCTCGCGGTGCCGTTGATCGAATGCACTGCTAATTGCTGAAATCGAGACGACCGTCAAATATCCACCAGGCGGTGTTGATTTAATCAGTGCAACTCTGATTTCTAAAAACGATGACGATCGTCAAATATCCACCGCCGTGCGATGTTGATTTGATCGATGCACCTCTGAATGGTGAAATCAACGTGACCGTCAAATATCCACCGTCGGGCGGTGTTGATCTGATCGATGCACCTCTGACTTCTAACCAAGAACGACCGTTACTACGGTTCGCACCTCTCCAAACTACGTTCGGACGAGGGTGTTTGAGTTTTGGGGAATCTACGTTACCGCTACTCCTATGGAGATTCCTGTGGAGAGCTCCGCGACTACGACTACTTCTACCAACTATGGAGATCCTTCCTGGAAGGAGAGCTCCGCGAAGGAGTTACAGAGAAAAAAGGTAAAGTTTGACAGATGTGTTTCTGTGTTGATTTTTTGGTTGTCCCCTCACTCTCCTTGCAGGGTTGATTTTATCTAAAACCAACTTCG